AAAAAAAAAAAAAAAAAAGTGCTATGGACAAAGAATCTATTTCTCCTACATTTTTCTGTCTTAATGTTCTAAGTTCTTCGTTTTTTGGATATCTTTAAACAAATATATAGTTAATCTAGATTCAATTAAAAGTCATAATTAACTGGATCTCTCCTCTTTCATTTTACTTTTAATAGGCTGTTAAAGACAAGAAAAGTCAGTGTCAGGGTTTTTTTTAAACAGGCAATTTCCAGGGCTGCATAATATGGCCAGTGGACTCAACTGAACCTGTGATACTTTGCAGAGCTACCATATAATACAGAACAGTGATAGTCAACATGAAGAAGCTAAGGCACCATAAGATCCTGAATTATATAAGATATAATTAAGCTCAAAATTTCAATACTGAAGCAAGAAAGTATACTTATACCAAATTGTGTTTAAACACACATAACATAAAATGTACCATCTTAACCATTTCTAAGTGTACAGTTCAGTGGTATTAAGTACATTCACACTGTCATGCAACCATCACCACCATCCGTCTCTAGATCTCTTTTCATCCTGCAAAACTGAAACTGTACCGATTAAACAAACAATAACTCCTCCTTCCTCCCCCAGTCCCTGACAACCATGATACCTTAAGATTTTAAGTGTTTAGTATAAGGTGAAATTCTTACCAGATTATGTATAACGTTTGTTAGGGTCCAAGCAACAGGAACACTGAAGAAGGGAATACTAAGTAAGACAATATGAAGCAAGCCAACTCCCAATGCATATGTCAGCCACATACCCCGGCTGTTCATTACACGAGTATTTGGATTCACCTCGCTGTGGGCAACTCCAACATTCATGTTTGCTCTGCAGGAAAGCAATGAAATGAATCAATACTGATATAACTAGAAACCTCAATACTCCTAATTATGAAATGACAAAATAAGTGTTACTAGGATTATTTTTTTTTCCTAGTTATGAAATAGAACAAACACATCCTCCAAAACATGCTACTTGCAGATGCTGCAGTAAAGAATTCTTAACATCTGACTTTATGGTAAGACAAACAAGACTTATTTTTTATGGTTCTCCTCGAAAAAAATAAACAATTAAAATCCCCTTCCTAAAGCTTGTCTTCTAGCATGCTGCTTTTACTAAATCAAATAATGGGCAGGAAAACTCAAACTGAACGAGAAAACCTACATTTCTTATATCATGAGAGCAAAATGAAAACTCAGGAGCTAAATTTACCAACAGAATAAACTAATATAAAAAGCAAAGCTGCCCCAGCCATTCTGTTCTGAGTAGTGAGACTTTTACATCTAATGTAATGTTGTATCCATAAAGAGTGGTCAGAGTTCAAACCACTCCTTTTTGAATACTGAACCTGGGAGGAACACAGTGTAGTGGAAATTTTACATGGTCAAGGGATAAAGCTTGTTTCTCAATCTCATGATACAATTAGGTTAAAACAATGAGTCTTCTGCATATTTTAACTCTCGTCAACTCCCTTTTAAAACTTTAGCTTTTTCTTTCTTTTTTAAGCTTTTCCCTTTCCCGTGTGCGTTCAAGATGAACACCAAAGGTAGAACTGATAATAGCTCCCAGTTATTTTAACGATGATGTTTGCTTGGGTCTAAGAATCCCTTAACAAAATAAAATTGTCCTGAAGAATACCTAATCATCTCGGTAAAAACTGACCAGTGAGGCTGGAGGGCGGAAACAGGGCTAGATTATATTAGGAACAGCTCTGATTTAAAAATACATAAACCCTTTCGATTACAGAGTTGACACCGACAGAGGAATTTCTCATAACTCCATCCAACAAGTGCTTCCGGAGTACAATGTCCCCTTCTTCCTCCCCAAATCTATGGAACACGCATCAAGGCTTATGGTGATGCAAGCTGGTTACACTAAGCCAAAGTCTCAAATTTACAGGAGTAAATAGTTCTTCTAACCTAAACATCCACCGGGTATCGTTTTTATATGCTATAAGTTATACTTAGAACATGCCACTATTCAAGATACTTTTCCCACTTTCCACAGGATGGAAAAAAATGCTCGAAAGAGGCTTAAAATTTACATCTGAGCTGGAAGGCAAAGCCCGGTGGTACTGACCCTACCCCAGTTCAGAAAACCTTTCCAGGGCGCCTGCCGCGCCGCTTCAGGACTGGCAAACAATGACTTCAGACGGCAAAGAGCCTCCCGGCTCCGCAGCGACCCCCTTGGGGAGTGCCCCGCCTGGCCGACCGCCACGGGCAGCCTTCTCCGGCAGCCGGAGCTGCCGGACGGAGAAGCTTAGCAAAAGCCGCGGCTGCTACCGCCGCAGTGCCTCCCTCCCCGCCCCTTCCCTCGCGGAGCCGCACATGCCGTCAGGGCCGGGGCACAACGACGAGCTGCGGGAGGCGAGCCTCGGGGGCCGCCTGGCCGGCACGGCCAGATAGGCCACTCCTCCCCGGTAGGCCGAGCCTCGCCGCGGCAGCTCCCCACTGCCGCAGGCAGCAGCACAGCCCCTGGGGCCGATGGCACCCACTCACCGCCGCCCCACTCCCGGGGGCCGGCTCCGAGCAGAACAAGCCCGGCGGCGACGGCGTCTCCTCAAGGCCGAACGCCAGCGGTCAGCCCCAGCGCAACGCGGCTCAGCTTGCGGAAGCTTTCAGGGCCGAACGCGCTGCCAGGGGATTGGCTGCGGGCAGCGCCAATCCCACGTTCCCCGCCGGGGCGGGACTAAGTGCTGCGCGCCTGCTGCCCGGCCTGCCGCGCGGGTTGCGGGCGAGTCGTGGATCCGCGAGGTCGGGCCTGGGCTCCAGGCGGGAGGCTGGCTGGTCCGCTAGTGGATGGTAATTGCCCACCTCGCGCGAGCAGTAAGGTAGTGTCGTGTGGTTAACGAGACTTCATTCTTATATTCTCGGTTCGAGGGCCCCCTCCCCTCAACTCGGCCGCTGTGGGCAGCCCCCTCCCTCTCTACGGGGCGGAAGGCGGACGAGCCCGGGCTCGCGGGCGCGCACGCGTGGAGAACGGGCTCCCAGCACGTCTGCGCCCCCGCGCGCGGCGGTTGTGGCCTCTCCTGGCTAAATGTGTTTAGGCGCAGCCGATTCCCCGGGTCCACTGGGTGCAGGACAAAGTTGTATGCCAGGCGGAAACTTGAACCCCTGACAGCCGTAACTCAACGTGTCTTGGGAGTGAGGTGGCGTTTTCTAACGTTGTATGTTGTGGCATCGTGCGAGTGGTGCAAGTAGACTCTTTTCAGTTAACCACGATTTTTACTGATGTCATTTTGGGTTTATCCACAAGCCGAAGACAGGCACCTGTATTACGTGCTGAAGAAATGTGGATACCGAAAATTGGTTATTTGAGAACGGAGAGGAAAAGTCAGATGATTTGGAGTCATCTTTGAAATCGAATTTCATTACCTTGAAGGACACAAAGTTTATGATTTAAAATGCTGAAATAACTTTCAACAACATTTCAAAATTGGTGTAAGAGAATGTTGACTATATCTTGCATTTCTGTTGGCTCTATGAAAACAATTGGGTTAGATTTATTATGTTCTTTAAATAATTCCCTTGTGTTTTCCCTAAAGTCTATGAGTTCTCTGATCTCTGCCTCTTTTTTAGGTACGCTGTTGTCCTTAACTGACTTTCCTGGTCATCAGCACTCTTTCAGGAGTGTTTGATTTCCCTCTCAGCAAATATGGAAGACTGATTCCTGACATTCTCAGTCGTTCTATGCTGTGACTTGTAAGCCTGATATCAACCCTTCCACTTTTCAAAAGATGCCATTTAGTACATATACAGTAGAATGCGTGCTATGTTCCAGAGGTTATGCAAGGGATATTAGATTAATATAAAATCTCTGTTCTCAAAGAACTCTGAGCCAGGAGGAAGGGACAGAAAAACAATAGAATAACCTGTGATGAATTTTGGGTTAGAAATAAGGAAAAGGTGCTATGAGAGTACAGAGGAAGGAATGCATGATCTCTTGGAGCGACGGGGATTAGAGAAGGAAAGAAAGGCTTCCTTGAGGAGGTGATACTTGAACTAAATCTGGAAGGATGGTTAGAAGTCATGGGTAGAGAAAGGAACCTTGGGAGCTAAGGAAGGAGTGAGTGGCACCACATTAAGAGAGACAAGCTGTATAGTACAACTGGCCTAGTGTGCATTTGAAGAATAGTAGGATGAGATCAGACAGATAGAGAGAGGTCCAGTTGTTAAGGAGTTTGGACTTTACCTGGTTAGCAATTGGAAATCTTCATAAAATTTTAAGTAGGGTAGCAACATGATGACGTTTAAATTACAGAAAGAACCCTATAGGGGGTTGAGATTCAAGGCAAAATATCAATTAGGTGGTTACTGCAATAGTTCAGGGGAGAAATGTGGAAGGGCTGAACAGAGGCAGTAGCTATAGGTATAGAGAGGAGAGACTAGTTTGAGAAATATTTAGTAATAGGATACATAGGACTGGGTGGCAGGATGTAGAGACTGAGAAGAATTTCTAGGATGACTTCAAGGTTTCTAATTTTGCCTTGTGAGACTGCCTTTGGAGTCAAACTGCCAAGATATGCAGATGTGCATCTGTCACTTAACTAGTTGTGTGATCTTGAACAAGTTATCAAGCTTTTAAATCTCATTTGTGATAGAGGAGTGATAGTATACATAGGGTTGTTGTGAGGATTAAATGGGGTAATATATATAAAGTTGCTTATGTTAGCTATTATTTTTATTATGAAACAAGAAATATAGGAAGAAAGTTAGAGAAAGATTCTGAGATCAGTTTGGGACATGTTAAGTGCAGGGTGCTTCTAAGTCATCTAAATGATGATATTTAGAAGATACCTGGAAATAGGCCCTGGAGGTCAGAAAAATGTCTGGTTAGGAGATACAGGTGAGGTAGGGGTTGATATAGAGGCTAGTTAAAATAGAGTATATAAAGGGAAGGAGTTGAAGCAATGGTGACTTGCTGGGAAGGAGGATGCTCTTCTTAATGTTTACATTGGCATGAGGAAGGTGCTGATAAAATTATTTTTTTGTGGCCCTTCGTTAATATTCATGAAGTGCTTGCTGTGAGCGAAGTACTCTGATTATTCTGTGTTGCATCCAGAAATACATAACATATAATTCCCTGCATTCAAAAGTTGTATAGGTCAGGACAGGAGTGTGATAAGTATCCTGTGAGGGATGCAAGCCAAGTTGTTTAGGAATGTAGGGGGAGGGAAGGATCCTTCCTGGTTGGGTGAACAGAAAGGACCATGTTACAAATGTTATCGGAACTGGGTCTGGAATGATAGATAGGATTGCATTAGGAGGTGGAGGTGCAAATAGGGTGGGATTGCTGGCAAAGGAGGATTGAGGTCTTTGATCTTGGTCACAAAAAGCAGTGTGTTATTAAGAGAAATAGCAAAAATTAGGTGGAAGGCATGAGGAGGGGAGCAAGAGGATAAATTCTGTTTTACAAATATTTATTTTGAGATAACAGTGATACTCATTGTTAGAAATGCCTGTCAACTTGGGAAGAGAGAGATCACTGTTGGGGATATAGATTTAGATATTATTCTGTAACTGAAGCTTTGGGTTTTAAGATGTGAAAGAGGAGAGAGGGATTGGGCAATGCCTACATTTCTGGGAAGAGTGAAGAAAACGTGAAGAGATCAAAGAGGTTTAGATGGAAAGATCCTTGAGAATTAGGGGATATCGTCAAAGTCACGTGCTTCAGGTACATCAAGGAACATGAGTCCTGAGAAAAGAATTTGGATGTAAGAGATCATTGGTGAACTTGAAGAGAACAGAATCCTGACAGTGGTTGTGCTATAAGCCATTTTGCAAGGGTTTTAGAAGTCGGTGGTAGGGAATTGGTGACAGTGAATATAGATTACTTATTCAAGTTTGGCTTCATAAAAAAAGAAAGAAGATAATCATTGGGGTAATACGGTTGAGGGAAGAATTTTTTGTTTGTGTTTGCTTTCAAGGCCGAGATGCCTGTGGGAGGACTGGATAAAGAAACTAGGTGTGTTAGCTTAGGAGGAGGAGACATTGACCTGAGACTGAGGGAAGAAGAGTATGGGTAGAGGTGCAGACATTTTAAGAAACCAGAGGACACAGTGGGGTGGAGGAGGTGAGGTGTGTGTGAAGATAGAGTTCATGCTATGGACTTGATCTCAGTCAACTAGAGAATGGGAAACACTGGGATGAAATTAGGGACTTGGGGGGAAAAAATAGATTTTAGAAGAGGGATTGTAGAAAATGAGACAAAGATGATGAGATTAATAAGGAGATTTCCCAGAAAGAGTGAAGGTTAAGGTTGGTGTAGGTTTATACCGCAAAGCTTGATTGATCAGTATTTTTCTTAGATCCTTGGGATTCTCAAGAAGTCTAGAAGACTTCTTGAATGCAAGCCTAACCTGATGCTAGGCCATGGGTTAGCCCCTTTGGGGATGGGGGTTAGAAGTGGTGGGCAGTTTATCCTTTTGGGAGTTAGGAGGAACTCAATTTAGTCCAAGTATCCTGGGATCTTTTAGCATGTATGTGCCAAACATTGTAATAAGTTATATACATTATCTTATTTATTTCTCACCACAACCATATGATATTATCACCCCCATTTTGTAGATTAGATGATTGAATTTTAGAGTTTAATTTTAATTTCCCCAGCATCATATAGCTATTAGTGTAAGGGCTAGGATAGAACCAAAAGCAGTGTGATTTTAGAGCCTGCTTTTTTTACTACTCCTCTATCCAGTGCTGTCCAGTAGAACTATAATGTAAGCCACATATTTAATTTTAAATTTTCTAATAGTCACATTATAAAGAGCAAAGAAAATAGTGAAATTGTAATAATTTATGTGAACCAGTACATCAGAATATCATTTTATCTTGTAATCAGTGTAAAAAAATAATAATATTGTATATTTTTTTTATACTGAGTTTGAAATCCAGAGTGTATTAGCACATCTCAATTTGGAGAAACCACGTTTTAAGTGCTCAATAGCCACGTGACTAGTGGCTACCATATTGGACAACGCAGCTCTATACACTTGCACTTGAAACCAGTCTGAAGCTTGGGGATAGCGCAGAGGGTGCCTTTTGTTGATGATGGCACTAATTTGTGTGAATGTTAAGACAATGGAGCAGCTTGACCATCAACTGTTTTCCTGACTTATTGGGGAAGGCCAGCCCTTGAGAGCCACAAAAACTGTTGAGAGGTAGTTGTTCACAGCTGTTCTCCTTAAAACTGGGTACCCAAGAACTAAATCAAATACATAGATTAATTAGAAGGTAATTGTTGACTTAAAAAAGAATTCCCAGCATTTCTTTACGTAGTCATATTTCATCGTAATAATAGTGTACATTTTATACGGCCTTATCATTTACACAACATTTTACATGTGCTTTCTCATTTGATCCTCACAACAGACCAGTGAGGCCTTATCTCCATTTATACAGGTGATAAATTGATTTTACAGAATGATTTAAGTGATTTGCTTCAGTTTACGTGTAATGAAGATAAACCCCAAAACCTGGTTTTTTAGACTCCAATCTGGCATGTTTGTCCACTGTGCTAATCAGCTTTGCCTTGTACAAAGCAGAATATAGTTATATTTATGAATTGTGACCAGTTAACACCACTCAGAGCTCAGGATATTGGCCTCGTCCCAGAAATGCATCCCTTAAAATCCTGTGTGATTGTTATTGTGGATATACTCTATTTCTTGCTCGGTTACTGCCTCTTACTGACATGACTCTGCTTGGCTTATGTCTTATGTTGCCTGAGAAAAAATCTTAAATGGACACCTTTTTGTTTTGTTTTGTTTGTTTCTGGCATTGCTGTTTTGTTTGATCCTAGATTCCATAGGATCAAATCATCATGTGAGCCTGTAACTAATCATGGTAAATTAAGTACCTGGGGTTTTTTTCTCCCCTGTTCTTTGTCAAAGAAAATCTTGACTCTATAGGGGAATTACATGTTGTCAAGCTAGTGTTTTTTCTTTCCTGAAATCTTTTCTAAAATTAGGCATTAAGGCAGATGCAAACCCCACTCCCTGCATATTTTATGTATGAGATTTCCATGTAAGATTTTTTGTTTCTTCGTTTGAAATGGTTTCAAACAAAGGGTTTCATAGCTAAAACAATTACTGGCAGAGAGATTTTGGGTGTACAGGTTGGATCGGCATGTAAAGGACCTTGAATACCAGCACAGAGATTTGAGCCTTATCTTTTTTTTTTTTTTTTAATTTTTTAAATTTTTTGTTTATTTCAGTAACATTGGTTCATAACATTGTAAAAATTTCAGGTGTACATCATTGTACTTCTATTTTATTTAGGCTTTGGGGAGCCACATGATTAGAATGATGTTTTAGGCAGAGTAATGTAGAGGATAGTTATAGTTATCTGATATGTCTGAGATCTCACTGGTTCAGATTAATAGTAATTCTGGGATCTACATATCCTAACTCCAAAAGAGCTCGGTAATTGAAAAAGGCATTGTGACTCATCAAAACATATGGATGACTAATGACATTTACGTGAGACTGCCATTAAGGCACGTAACTGACTGACATTATCCGCATCCTGGGGTGACAGCACCACCCGGTCATTCCTAGCCACGCAGAGTATATATTACACTCATTATAGCACAGTTGTGCTTATTGTTCTTCAATTACTACCATAGTGTGATTTACCAACTAATTTTTCTATGCCTTAGTCTTATAACATGGAGATGATAATGACATCTATTTCAAAGAGTATTTGTATGAAATAAATGATTTAATACTGTGTGTGCTTACAGTAGATCCTGGCATACAGTGGGGCTCAATAAATTTGAGCTGCTATTATTGTTATTGTTTTTGTTGCCATCAGTTCTGTTAGTCAGGAATGTTTAACAATTGTTATTTTTACAACTTGTATTTTTGTCTTCTAGCTACTCTGCTAAAAGCTAGAATGAAACAGTTGCCTGCAGCAACAGTTCGCCTCCTTTCAAGTTCTCAGATAATCACTTCAGTGGTCAGTGTTGTAAAAGAACTCATTGAAAACTCCTTGGATGCTGGTGCCACAAGCATAGATGTTAAACTGGTGAGAGTCCCTGAGGAGCCAAATACCTTTGAAGCAAAAAAGGGCTGGACAAATGTTTTCTCCTTACAACTATTGCCTTTCTGTTCTTTCTATGTACCAGTAAATTATTCTTAGGACATTGGACCCTTTGTCTTGTTTAAGAGTAAATTCTTAAAAATAAATTTTAATTTAAATCAACATTAGTTGATTAGTTTAAGTCTACATTAGTAAAACTAAAGGAAATTATAAAAGAAAACTTACTCTTTAGTACTCCATCACCTAAAACATAAATTTAATTTGTATTTTCTACTAATATTTATCCTTGGTTATTCATATTTACTTGCTTTATATATTCTCATTTGCATTTTAGTTTTTCACCTAATCTTTTTTTTTTTTTTTTTGAGGAAGATTGGCCCTGAGCTAACATCTGTTGCCAATCTACCTCTTTTTTCCTTTTTTCTCCCCAAAGCCCCCAGTACACAGTTGTATATCCTGGTTGTAGATCCCTATAGTTCTTTGTGGGACGCTGCCTCAGCATGGCTTGATGAGCCGTGAGTAGGTCCACGCCTGGGGTCCGAACTGGCAAACCCTGGGCCACTGAAGCGGAGCACGCAAACTTAACCGCTGCACCGCCAAGCCAGCCCCAAACCTCATCTTATTTTAAAACCGTTTCCCATGTTGCTTCATAGTTTTCACATTTTTAAATTTAAGTGCTATGTATTAAATCATTTGAGTTAATATGACTTATGACACTCATTACGAATTATTATAATTATTTTGTGTGTCTACCTCCCCTATTATAAATTACCAGCTCATAAATAAGGTCTATATTTTTTTCAGTTTTGTGTCCACCATACCTGGCCAGTACTTGGTACATAAATGGTAAATAAATTTGTTTGCGTGAAGTAAGGATACGTTTTTTTGTAATCATCTGATTATCAGATATTTATCTTATTTCTAGTATTACAGTATTAGAAATAATACTGATATGAATATCTTTGTAGGAAAGAAACCTATAGTTTTCATATGTATGTATATTTTATATATATATAAAATCCCAGTTGCTCCTTATAAAAACTTAGTGAATTAGCTACTACAGTACCCATTTTACAAATAATTAAGGTTCTGAGAACTTGGTCAAAGTTATATAATTAGTAAGTAGTGGAGCTGAGATTGGAATTCACGTCTTTCTGACTCCAAACCCCATTCAAAATCTTTCCTCTATACCAGTGTTCTCACAACGTTTGGGGGCGTTAGAATAATTCAGAGTTTGTTAGAACAGTTACTGGGCCCTAGAATTTCAGATTCTAGGTGTGGCCCAAGAGTTTGCATTTCTAACAAGTTTCTACTTGATGCTGAGAACCACTGTTCTGTACCATATCAAACCTGTATTTTGTTTTTAAATAATGTTCTGTAAGTTTTATAAACATGAAAAATATTTATTAAATTAAATCAAAGAAAGACTATTGTTTTTAAACATTTCATAGTTCAGTCTGATTAGAATACAATTGATAATAATTAAATAGGATTAGATAATTGTATCTGACAGATTTCACTTAAGACTTTTAGGCAGGCAAATATATATCTTGTTCTCAAAATTCTCTGGAAATTTTGAAAGTTATAATGTAAATATTTGAATTTCTTATGAAAGCAATAAAATGTTCAAGGGAGAAGGTATTCAAAGTCAAGTTGAATAATGATAATTGCTAGACTCTTGGTGGGTGGAACTAGGTGGTGTTTTTGATGGTGATGGTGATGGTATTCTGTTTTGTTTGTGAGATTATACATGCAAAGATATATATAATTTAGAAGAATTTTTTTAGTGAAGTTTCAACATAAATTTAGACATAAATACCTATGATACTGAAACAATTCAGGTGAACCTTAAAGATCAGACTGACTTCCTTATATTAAAGTTGAATCTAAGTCAAGAGAAAATGAGGGACTTGCCCATTGTACCATAAATAGGAATTAGTAAATTCCTATTAGTAAATAGGAATTAAGAAATTCAACTCTTGCTTTCTTAATGTTAAGATTCCATAAAAGATAAATAAACCACAAAAATTGTTTCACTTGTGTTTCTTTCTGTGTCTAAATATTGTAAGTTTAATACCTTTATATACTAAAAGTGTTTTTTAACTTTTTATAGGAGAACTATGGATTTGATAAAATTGAGGTGCGAGACAATGGTGAGGGTATCAAAGCCATTGATGCGCCTGTAATGGCAATAAAGTACTACACCTCAAAAATAAATAGTCATGAAGATCTTGAAAATTTGACAACTTACGGTTTTCGTGGAGAAGCCTTGGGGTCAGTTTGTTCTGTAGCTGAGGTAAGGTAATTTATATTGACTGTGCTAGTGATTTTATAATCACAGAATATTAGAATTAAGAGAAAAATAACCCAGTATTTGACAAAGAGTGTTTTTTTTTTATTGTGGTAAATATACATAACATAAAAGTTACCATTTTAACCATTTTTAAGTGTACAGTTGAGTGGCATTAAATACATTCACATTGTCGTGCAGCCATCACCACCGTCCATCTCTAGAACTTTTTCATCATCCCAAACTGAAAACTCTGTACCCATTAAATAATAAATCCCTATTCTCCTTTCCCCTCATCCCCTGGTAACCACTATTCTACTTTCTGTCTCTGAATTTTTCTATACTAAGTACTGCATTTAAATGGAATCATACAATATTTGTCCTCTTGTGTCTGGCTTTTTTCACTCAGCATAATGTCTTCAAGGTTCATACATGTTGTAATGTGTATCAGAATTTCATCCCTTAAGACTGAATAATATTCCATTGTATGTATAAACCACGTTTTGTTTATCTATTCATCTGTCGACATTGGGGTACATTTGGGTTGTTTCCACCTTTTAGATATTGTTAATAATGCTGCTATGAATATGGGTGTACAAATGTCTGTTTGAGACCCTGCTTTCATTTCTCTTATGTATGTACCCAGAGGTGGAATTGCTGGGTCAAATGGTAATTCTGTTTAATTTTTTGAGGAACAGCAAAATGTGTTTTACAGTGTTAATGTTTATAAGAAGAAATACTGGTTTAGTGGCCCATTGTCTTGGAAAAAAGGTATTAAATAAAATTAAACATATCTTAACTATAAGCACTTTTCAGAGCCTTTACTGAGAGTGCATTGTGCATCTCTAAGGTTGATGGTTTATAGTAGGTTCATTTTCCTGCACCTACTTGACTATGAAACCCTTTTATTGAGAAGCATATCTCTGTTTTCTTGTTATTGTTCTGTGGAACATACTTTGGAAGTACCACTCTAGTCAATACAGATTGTTAGATTGTGCTCTAGAGATGCGAATTGACTTGGCCTAAACCTAGCTAATTAGAAGCAGATTGGATCCTGGAACTTTGCTCTCCTCACTGCTGGTTAGGTGTTTCAGTGTCTATAAACCCCTGAGTTTGCCTGATCCACTCGATTGCATACTACCAATTATACTTCACTGCCTCTGCCCTAGATTATGTAACTAATTTGTGGCAAAGCCCATCTAGAACCTTGATCTCTTCATTTCCATGTATCTCGGTTATGTTTTATCCCATGACTCTACTAGTTTCTTTGTGCTGTTCTGTTTCTCTATGTATGTTAAGCTCTGTGTTATAGTGTGATAGTATCTGTGTGCTAGTGAGTGACATGGTAATTGTGAGGGTCTCTTGAGCTGTCTAAGTTTGCCCAGTGGCCTTGTAAGCCTTCATTTGTGCTTGGGACGGCAGACCCTAGTTAGGTGAGAATGCTCAGATGCAATAAAATGATAGGACTTTATACCTTCTCTCTCAGAAAAGTGGCATGGATGTGAGATATTGTTTCTCTCTCCTTATCTGGTCTCTGGACATCAATTTAGTAGCCTAGTCTTCCCAGCAGTGATACATTCTTCAGGCTTATTGTGGTCTTCCCTTTGCCTTTAGAGTGCTGGCATAGTGTAGGTTTTTTCCATTTTTTGTGAATAGGGTCCTGACGAGGTATTCATTTACTCTTTGACTTTGGGGCTCTTGAAGGTGATGACTAAGTAAGAAAGAAAAATTGTGAGTGGGGGAGGAATTGTGAGTGGGGGAGGAGGTGGAGTTTAAAGTGGGCGACCTTGCTGTTTTAGCCCAGAGGACTAGGGGCCCTTGCTTCTTAGAATCCAGATCTTCAGACATCACTAAAGGAGGAAAGACCTTGTCATTCCTTAAGTGCACTCTGCTTAAACCGGTATCCAAAAACTAGTGCACTCTGTGCTTCTCTTATGTTTCTCAGCACTTGATTTATTTAGTGTTCACTGAGTCTCCAAATAGATTTTAGGGAAGAGTCACTAGAGGGTACAACCGGGCATTGCCCATCTTTCTCCCGAGAGACTATATATGGGAACCTATGGCCCTGGGATCGTGTAGAGTCTGTTTTTAAAATAGGATGGGATTTGTATCAGGGAACCTCTGAAGCTCCCAGGACTAGTACTATTGTATGACCTCTCAATGGTTATATTAGAAATCATATAATTTGTTAGAGAACGTAAGTATTTTATTTTTTAGCTATTGTCCAAACTTAGCAGATAAGTCTTTAAGTTTCATTTTGGCAAAGTATTTTTGAAAAATATATAATTTGGCATTTCTGTATTTTCTAAGATGTATGTAACCTTTCAGAACTGAAATTGATCATATCAACTTTGTCTGCTAGGTGGCAGCACTATACTTAGTTTTCTAAAATATATTGTACATAAGCCATATGATTTATCCAATTCAGAACAACTCTGCTATGCTGTCTCTGCTCCAGAGTTCCCCTCTGAGGTCAGCCAAGGCCTTGTTGTGACTGTGGCACAGCTCCACTTCTCTTTCTGCCATGCCCCCACAAGTGATCATCCCAGCAGCACTCCTCAGTAAACTTCCTGCTCACTAGTCTTTGCCTTAGTCAGCTTCGTGGGTAAGCCACCCTGCAAAGTAGGTCTTCTGTGGTTCGGTATCCTCATATTCCTGATGAGGAAACTGAGGTCTTGTGAGGCTAAATGCCAAGTCTTCTCACTCCAGCTTTAAAACACAGTCTAATAATTGGTCAGCTAATATTTCATTGTCTACTGTACGCAGGGTGCTGTGCTAAGTAGTTTACCTCAGAGGAACTGTGCACAGTGAAGTACATGGAATATGAAAACTGTGACCTGTTTAGGGACACATAATGTGTCCATAGTAAAGCCAAGAATCCAGTTCTAATTTCATGCCTTCCAGTACTGAGTTTTTCATGCTGCCTTCTTACTAGCATGGTTAGAGAGGTATTTATAAGTTTAAAAACACCTCATATTATAATAAATATACCCAGGCCTGCAATGGTAAGCTCAGGAGACAGGTTATCAAGCAGTAGTCAAGTTGAAACTTAACGTGGGAGGATTCTGAATAGTATTTCAGAAATACAGAAAGTAATATATGCTTGTTAAGGTCAATTACATTTAAAAATAAATATTGTGATTCAGGAAGACTTAATGCTTTTTGGGGAAAAAGGTTCACTTTTTAAACTTAATGAATATTCTTCACCACTCAGAAAGAATTGAAGTTTCTATGTAGTATAGAAGTTACATATTTATTTTAGAGGCTGCGATTCATTTTGAAAATCTTTGGATGGAGATTGCAGTTACATAATAAAAATTAGTTATTTGGTTATTTTATATGACAGACTAACTGATGCAGATAATTTTAAAGTCATAGAGATATAATCCATCTCATGTTTATTATATTGATAATGTGTAATTGGGATATAGTAGTGTCACACTATTAAACAGCCATCACCGAAAACTCCAATTGTTGAAATTATTGTTTGTTAGATTATTTTAAAGATGTTAATAATTTTAGTTTTATAAAAAGAAAAAATTAAGTAGACTTTCAGCAAAATTAGCTGGAGAATTTTCAGCAAATTAATTTTTTTGAAATTAAATTAATTTTCAGCAAAATTGGCTGTATCTACTTTGTAGATACAGAGTATCCTATTGATATTTAAAAATGGAATTACTGCTTCCATAATCTATGATGAATGTATCAGTGACTGACACAAATTGACCCATAGGGCTTTTTTTTTTTTTAAATCATATTATCAAGCATAACTTCTCTTGAAATTTGTTGTTGTTTGTAGAGCAATAATTTGGGGATATTTGTTATTCTTCAGTGTTAAATTCCTGATACTGATTACTAAGCATACTGACTAGAATGAGCTAAAGATAGTGAAAATCCTGTTTTGACCTATTCATAAATTTTTTTATGAAGACTCTTGTATATATTGTTCCTGTCATTAAATAAAACACACATAATAAAATATTTATTTTTAGGTTGTATAAAAATATACATTTTAATATAATGTATATAAAATATATATTCTTTTTCCCTCCAAAGAAATGTTTAAGAAACTCATATAAGTTTTTTGAACTGGATTTTAATAGAGGCTAAATTATACCTTAGTTCTAGGAGGATTACAGAATGGTTTTATTTTCTTAAAATCAGAACAAATTCTGAACAAGGAGTCAGAAGCCTAATTCTCATTCCCAAGTGTTTGAATATCAGATGTGACCATGAGACAGGTTAACTTTCCTCAGTCTTTTTTTTTAATATCTATAAAGTGAGGCTAATGATTTCAGGGTCAAATGAAATAGTACATATTAGAGTATCGTGAATATTGTCATGTCCCATACAGATGAAGCTTAGTTTTACTCTGGACTTGAATGTGAAAAGTAGTATGTGGCTGTATCATACAGGTGATGATGCCATCAGCTTACTCATTCCCTTTTTGGCAAGCAGTATTGCACTTCAAAGTTCATGCAGACTCCTCAACATTTTTGGGAAATCCTTTCTAAAATGTAACAACTATTCTTAGGTAAATTCCTTCTAATTCTCACCAAAGGTCTTTATTACATGGCATAAGTTTATTTTTTCTCTTGTTTTTCCCTCAGAAGAATTAGAAGAGTTGCCAGCCATCCGCTGAATAATACTCATGTTCATTGATTCATTCATTCAACGTTTTTACAGTGGTTATAGTGTGCTGGGTATTATTCTGATCTGTCAAGTTCATTATGCATAATTTTGTAATGAGATTATATGGGATCTGTAGAATTGTTTTTGTTTTACGTTACATAAAACCACTGTGGCTTAAAGGGGGCAGAATGAGAAGCTAAGTCATTCTGTTTTGAAGATGGAAGTTGGGACTCCCTTATTTGTGGGCCTGAATAACTGTAAAAGGGTGGGGGAAGCCCCTAGCATCATTCTGATGGTTCCTGCCTCCTGTTCCAGTGTAGGGTACCTTCTATGTCTGTTGGAGCCATGGTGGTATAACTTTAGTTAGAATAAGCACAGGAATTTTTGAAGCAGTTGGGATATCCTGCTTCCTAAATGTAATCTCCTCACAGGTAATAGAACTCTGTTGAAAGGAGAAAAGCCAGGGCCGGGATCTCCCTGTTGCTAGTCTCCCACAGTGGAGTATCAGGGAGAAGGTTCTCAAGTCAAAGTGCTTATATTAGTGTACAGCTGTGTGCAGGCACGCAGGCATACTTACACATTGAAGGAAAAAGACATTTCAGTCGTCCAGGCAAAATCCATATTTCAGCTGAATCATGAGGACCATTTACCTTAGTTTTCAAACTCATGTTTCTCTGCCGAAGTATTCCTCTAAAAGTTAGCAAAAACACCTAAACAATTAAAAAAACCTTTAATTATCTAAAATGAATTTTTGTCAGGAGAGGATTTTTTGTATGAATTACCAGGATATATCCTAAGTTTTTAATTTACTTTTTATCTAAAACATTGAGAAAAATTGTACTTATCTAAAATTTAAATGCTTTTATGTAATTTTAACTTTGTAATAGTGCTGTAATTTCTTGAAACTCAGTAACTGGACCAAAGAGTCCATTTTTAATAACTGATAGCTAATATGTCCTCTAAGGACTTCTAAAACTTGTTTTAAAATAAACTTCTCCTTTTGAAATTCTTTAAATAAGTTTCTTATTTCTTCTCTTGACACCACTAGATTCACTCACTGTCGTAATTCCTCAATGTCTCTGGTAAGAAGCACCAGTAATAATTTGTAATACTGGAGATGCTTCTGGTGGTGGAGTTACTGCAGGTTCAAATGCTAGCTGCTGCCCAGCTAACACATTCTGAACCTGTGCCTGGTCCAAAAAAAGGTTTCCTGCCCAGGACACAGGGTCATATGATGAAATGAACTCTTGAAATACAATTCCTTCCTCTGAGGAGCACACTGTATTTCATGAATTTGTGAAACATGCTTATGCGTGTTATCCTTCACTGTCTTTAGCAGTGAATTGCAAAGCATTTCCTATCTAAATAAATTTTCATAGAACTCTATACATTCTAATTTAAAAAATTTTAGTGTTGGAAAACAATATTGTGTTCTATTTTTTTTACTTAACATAAATATTACATTATAACTACGAAGGTCTTATTTTGCTTTTTAGCACTTCAGTTTATTCATCTAGGCTAGAGTATTACTATTCACTAATGTGTTTAAAGGATGAACAAGTTAATATCTGTAAAATGCTTTGAAGTAGTTAAAGCAAAAACCCATGTAACCTTATAAAGTATTAGCATCATCTTCATCTTATCATCACCTTCCCCTTAAAGATGATAGTGTAATCATTTATTCAGGACCATCTAGCAAGCCACTGGCAGAGTTAGCACTAGAACTCAGAGTTCCAGGGCTGCCTTTGCTCAGTGACACCAACTTTAGGTCAGGTGGCTAGCTCTTTGGAGAATAGAAATAGAATTCAGTTGACCTTGGCATTTTGGAGAAGTGGTTGGTTAAATGTAAAATTGTTTTTAAAGGGACAATCATGGAGTAATTAAATTAGAGACAGGAAAGAAAATCTCTAGCAGTTTCTATCCTCTTTGTTTTGAACAAACTTTACTAGAAGAAATCACTATTGGACACAATAGAGTTGGGATCTAGTGGAAGATTAAGATTAGTTATCAGGCAAACTTTTTAAATTATAAACTTTTGAACCATGGAATATATTTTTGGAAGAAGTAGAACAATCACTTAAGAGTATACAGAGGCTCACAACTTTGTTTTAGGTATAGCTTTTTTGGGGAATAGTTATCACACAAATGGCAGCTTGAGGCAATGCCCCTATTAAGGATTTTATGGATGTCACTCTCAGAAAGAATCTAATAGACTCTGCTAGTACTGTGAGCTAGAGAAGCCACATTTTTTCCTGGTGATTTTGGTGTTCCCTCCGTTGTACGCACATGTTCCACAGAGCCATATGGCCTGCAATAAATCAGTGAATGATTAAGGCAGGGTGACAACGATCAAACATAGACCCAACTGGACTCAGATGAGTTCCAGCAGTGGAGCTGGGTCTTTGCAACGTCTTCCTAAATTATATAAGTTTATTTTAAGATAGTCAACTCTGCTAAGTCCAAGGATGGCCAGGAAAGATTGCTGCCAATTTTGGGTCATCATTGCTTACCAGAAGTGTGAGAAGGCTGCCTTTTTCTGAATCCACCCTGCTTTCCTTGCCAGCATCCCTACTCCTCACCTATGGTATTTTCTGACAATGGTATGGTTTGCTGTTGTTATACTCTCCTAATCTCATGAGGTAGGTAAACAAAGCTGAGGGTGATGGTAGCTCAGAGTGCAGACATTCTTAACTTTGTATTTTTATGACTGTGACATCTTAGGAAATATTTTCATGCTGAATGAAACCCTTTTTTTTTTTTGCTGAGGAAGATTCACCCTGAGCTAACATCTATGCCAATCTTCGTCTATTTTGTATGTGGGTCGCCACCACAGCATGGCCGCCGGTGGGTGGTATAGGTCCATCCCCAGGAACCGAACCTGGGCTGCCAAAGCAGAGCGCGCTGAACTTAACCGCTAGGCCACAGGGCCGGCCCCTGAAGTCCTTTCTTACTCTTATATGTTTTAATGCTAAAATTTTTTTAATTAATAAAAAAATTTACATTTAAACAATGAGTTCAAAGCTTGGATTTAAGAAAAAATCGCCCATAGATACATATGTGTATGATTTATATTTTTTTATTCTTTTGAACCATTAACTTTAAATACCTAAGTGCAATTTTATACAGAATATAAAAGGAGGGAATGATTACATTACAAAAGGATTATTCAATTTACCAACAAATTTATGGGAATAGTCTTTTAAGTTAAAAGCAAGCTTCCCTGATGCAGTTGAAGTATTTGATTTTAAAATGAAATACTCAAAATAAAAATCAGTAATTTGCAGCATAAAAAATGTAAGCTGGCCTATTGCTTATTAGTGTAACTCTAAGGAATATTTCATGAGAAGTGGTCATAAAAACTTATCAAGTAAAACTTTTTTGGATGTTAAGTAAATATACGGTAATTATTTTACATCTGATTTGATAATGAGCCCACTGCAATATCAAAAATCATAATTTTATTAGAAGTTTTTTTTTTTTTTTAATTCCAGGTTTTAATTACAACAAGGACGGCTGCTGATAATTTTAGCACCCAGTATGTTTTAGATGGCAGTGGCCACGTAATTTCTCAAAAACCTTCACATCTTGGTCAAGGTAAGAGTGTAGCTTTGTAGCATTCTTTGCCTTTTCTGTCTTAATTGCTTATTTTAAAAAAATTGTTACTCCTTAAATTCAAATATATTGCTTCAGGCTTGGTCCTGGTAGTGGCTAGTTAACTTCCAAGTGAACATTCAGCCTTTACTTTAGCCACCAATCTCGTAAACACTTAGAGTTGTTCTCAAGAGGAACTGTGTGAAAGACTTTGGACAACAGCATGGATTAGTTACTCTTCTGTAAAAACTGTAAGAGCAATTATTTTACTATTGCTGGATCACTAGTGTTTTTATATGTGAAGGATAATATTTGATTGAAATACCTAAAACATTATTGATTTGGTAATCATGGTAATAAATCATACCATCAAGATATTATGATTAAATAAATAATTTAAAATCTATTGATTTATGGAAAACTTCAAACATATGCATAAGTAGATAGTGTACCCATCACTCAGTTTCAACAATTATTATTAACTCATTGCTAATGTTGTTTTGTCCAATACTGTCACCCACTTTCTCTCTTTCTATATTATGTGAAGCAAATATATTAATTAGTGTGGCTGTTTGTCATTTAGTTCTTTAGTGTTTTATACACTTATGTAATTTTATTATATTTTAATTGACATTTTTTTATTTTTAAGTTCCTCTGCTAAGTATTTACTTCCAAGGGAAAAAAAAAATCTCCTCAGCCTTGAGTTTCACATATCTCCTTTAATCTTTTTCATACTGCTAAGTTCTGTTAATGGGGTGTTTAAAGTTGAGAGAATATTAAAGGTTTGACCTCTTTAGAGTCATGTTCAAAAGAATTATTAGATCTGAAAAGGGACTTGTGTTTTTTTGCTGTTGTTTGCCCTTCTTCTCCTCCAATTTGTATTGTAAATTTATTTTTAATTTTGTGGTCCCTCATTGTAATTTATCAAAGTACTTTATTTTTTCTGCGGTTTCTTCCCTCCAGTTTTAATATTAAATTATTGGATTTGTTTTTTCTAAATTATTTCTATTTTTCTTCATTGAAATGTGTTTTCTTGTATCTTAATACTGATACCAAATTCTCTCATTCTTTCTCTTATTTTATAAATCCTCAAATTATTTACTGATTACTTTTGCCTGTTAAGAATTAGTGTTTTTCTCTCCACATAGGGGAAAGAAAATAATAGGAGCTCCTAAGAAAATACACTAACTTTTTTTCTCATTTATTCAGTTAATAAAAATGAGCTCAAGTCTAATAGCTGTTTAATTTGATATATAATAATATTGTGCATATATTAATTAAAAATAATAGATTGTGATTCTTTTTGATGTATTGAAGGTTAGGACAAAGAGAAGGCATTTTTAAATGGTCCCTCTCCAGAAATGCTCTGACCCCAGTTCTTAGGAGTTCAAATTAGGAAACCGTTAGGAGATACTTGAGTGGCTATCCTGTAGAGTACTTGGAAGTAATCTGGTCACCTTATAAAACTTAAATGTATTTATTTTTATCTAATTAGTAGCCAGTCTAATGTGGATGGCCAGTGGCTCTGTATCACTCATACATCTCATGCTTTTCCATATTCATCTCCATGGGAACTATGAAATAACAGTCCTTAAATATGGAATACTTCTGATATTTGCTCATTTGCTGATTAAGTTTTCTTGCTGATTAAGTCTTCTACTTTTAGTAAATGAGACAAGGTATGCATATTAAGAAATTTCTACAGACAGTAAATGAAATTTATTTTTTTTAGCATATTCCTTTTACCTTAAGAAAAAAAACAATGTACTTGGAAGGTCAGTAGTTGTGAAACCAGTAATTTCTTGGATAACTCACTTTTTTCGCCTAATTATAGTTGATTGGCTAGGACAACAACAAAAAGTCAAGTTCTTGGTTTTTTTTCCCAAGCTCTTAGCTTCAAAATGCTCTAAGTGGGCGTATTATAGAAATCCATGAACACTTGCAAAAAGGCTTTTACATTTATATTGCCTTAGTGCTGATAGTTTTTGAGTGGTTGAATCACAGACTCACATTTCACCACCAGCTGTCATTCAGCTTCCATTTAAATATTTTCTGTGTAAGATAAAACTGCAGTTCAGCCATCCTAATTAATACCTGTGCATTTAGGGTTCTTGTAGATTAATTTCTACTGTGGTGTGAACATCCTTGCTTAGCAGTTATTTCTTTATCATCTGATAGAATGACACCTGTATATAGCCTAACTGTAGGTGCAGAGACAACTTAAACAAAATCTTTTTTAGGTGTTGGAAAATTTGTTACCCCTTTAAAAAACATATTTTAAAATGTTTAAAAATAGTTTACTAGAGATTCCCATTCTCATTTTTCCTGGTGTAGGTATTTGCTTTATGATTAATTTAGCCATTTAAAATGATTTATGTGTTTAACAGTATGTCATTTTAAATTACCCTTACCTTCTGTTCATTTCTGTTTTAAGACATTTAAAAAATTAATAAGAAACATAAAAATAAGTCTCCAGCCTTTAAATTCTTTTACCAAGAACCCTGACCAAATTATTTGTTTTAGTCATATCTTTTTTCTGTCATCACTTCTATTCCCTTCACCCTAGATAATCAGTTTTAAGCTTTCTAAATTGATTTACCCTTCTGGACAAATTCTTTTAACACTTCCTAGTACTTCCACCTTAGGAATTTCTCAGATATCAAAAGTAGTATATTTAAAGTACTCTGATCAGGATATTTCCTTTCCCTACCCTGTTGTTAGAGTGGAGCATCAGGTTCTTTGTAAATCCCTGCTATGTGTGATTGTGCCTGTATTGAAAGATTTTTTTCATCTTGAGAATGACACTTTTTCATTAAATGGTTTCAGAAAACTTTGATATATTCAAGCAACCATACTTCTTTACATTAGGAATATAAATAGCTGCCTTTATAAATGGCTTAGCATAGGGCCATGTAAAAATATAGCAGGGAGCATATTACAGGACTGCAGTTTAATTCTAGTGTTTGTAGAATGTGCTAAAGTTAGAGAGCTGAGCAGTTCTCTTGTAAAATATGATAGTATACTGGGGCCTCCTCCCTATTGGCCAATGTTACTTGGTACTTTTTTTTAAGGATGCACATTTCATTTGGAATCAGCAGAGTTTTCCATCATTAAATTTTATTCAAACATGTATAATTCTTGGCTTATTGGTAATTCTCAATTTGCTCTGAGAATATTTTTAGCTGCTGAAGCAATAATTTATCAATATATGAATTAGGTATAGTGTGGTCTTTGACATATAACATATATTTAAAAATCAACATGTATTTTTTCCTTTCATAACCACATTTATATTTTGCCCTACCAGTTTCTGCCTGCGTTCCTTCCCACCATCTGTCCACAGCTACAGTATGTGTCATTATATTCATCACAGGCTAGTAGAGAACACAGATAAGTAAAAAGAACTCACTAGTGAAAAACACAGATGAGTAAATAAGTAATGACGGTAAAAAGAAGCCACCAGCTGCCAAGGGGAAGGTTAGTGAGTTTTTCAGAAAAAGAACATTTGAGTTTGAAGATGGTAGGTAAGAAGGAGTGAGAGTATACTTCAGCAAGAGAAGAATGATGGATGTAGAAGATTTCAAGAGACCATTGCTCTCCAATGTAGCAATGAGGGGAGAAAACACATAATTTTTAAAATTTGCATTTTTTAAAAACCCATTGAAGAACTATGTCACAAAGAAGTTTAAATAAATTTAGTCCAAGAGAAAGATGACTCCTTACTAGACAAGAAGAGACTGGTGGCCACTTGCTTCTGTGGGAGCATTAACTGAGTCTGGAGGCATAGGCAGGCAAAGGAGCAAGCCTGCTATAGACAAGAGATCTTTTATGGCCCTAGGAGAGACCAGCTGGACTTTTAATAGCCACATGTGAGCTGACGTGACAGTTGGAAGATGGGATCCTCAAACACAGAGCTGTTTCACCCCAGATGTCAAATCTCATCAGGACTTTTGCTGAGTAAGCAGTGATGAAGAAAGTTGGGACTGAGCTAGAGAGAGAAAGAAAGATCTTGAAGTCTTGAGATCACAAAGCCTTACTAGAGAAAGAGACCTGATTCCAACCTCAAGACATTTGAAACTATAAGTTAACTGAAACTAAATAAAGGGGCAACTCAGCTCCAACCCAGATAAACTCCTAATTATATTCAAGAGATTCCCTCTCCACTTTAGCTGCTTGACAGATGAAGTGTCTTCTCTGGGGAAAAATATTATCTGCTTCAGTATCTATTATTCTTTTATACACAATGTCTGGCAAAAATAAGAATGTTGAGAGATGTGAAGAAAGGAAAATGGGACCTATAATCAAGAGAAAAGATAGCTGATATAAGCAAACTTGTGGATGACCCAGACATTTGAATTAGCAGATAAGAACTTTTAAAACAATTGTTATGTTAAAGAATTTAGAGGAAAAGATGGTCAAAATCAGTAAGAAGGTGGAGAATTTCAGCAGAGAATTGGAACTCTAAAAGAGAACCAAATGAAAATTGTAGAATTAAAAAAGTACTATGTCTGGATGGATTTAACAGCATACTGGTCATAGCAGAAGAAGAGATTTGTGAACTTGAAGTCAAGTCAATAGAAATCATGTAAACTGAAGCACAGAGGATGAGATAGAATGAAAAAAGAGAACAGGGCATCAGAAGTCTGTGGGACAACATTAGATGGTCTGACATGTGTGATTGGAACCCAAGGAGGAGAGGAAAGAGAGAATGGGGTAGAAGAAAAGTCTGAAAAGAAAACATGAGAATTTTGCAAAATTGCTGAAAGACTTCAAGCCACAGATCCAAGGAACTCAATGAACCCCAAGTAGAATAAATACAAACAGAACCACAGCTAGGCACATCTTAATCAAATTGCTGAAAACCAGAGAAAATCTTAAGGCAGCTAAGGAAAAAATACATTGCATTCAGAGGAACAACAATAAAAATGACAACTGACTTCTCATCAGAAACATGGCAGCCCAAAGAAAATAGAATGACATCTTTTAAGTGTTTAAAAAAATTA